TTTGACAAGTACAGCGTCATGAGTAAAGTTGGAATTACCTGAGGGTTGCGATGCTTTAAAAATTGGTTAAACATATCACCATCAAGTCCACGAGCTTTTCGCGTTGGAACCGAAAAATTACAAACGTTGACTAGAAGTCAGTCATGTTGCATGATTTAATGAGATAGAGCAGGTGTGTGCACTTGGAGGAATTGCTCTCTGCATGGCTGTAGTCACTGCCTTATAACAAATGTGTTAAAAGTTTGGGAGTTTGGCGATCATAGCAAGTTTGCGATTATCTACTAACGTGAACTGTCCTAGGTACTGATTTCAGCAGACTACTGCTATTCCATCAATTAACGGAGTAAAACAAGTGAATCGTTCCTAAAACTCTCCTCGATTCTTTACCATGTCATTAATTCTGTTTCTTCTTGGTGCACAGTCTGACTCAGATACGATGTTGCTTTACGATGAAATTTTAAGATTGTATTTGCGTATCATTCAATGGTTGAAGTAGTTGAAAAAAACAAGTATTAATGCCTCATAAATATCCGTATTATCTTACTTTCTCGATTTAAAAAGCGATAGGATGACAGCGTGACTAATTGATGTATGACCTGCCACGAGTGTTGCTGCGAACACGAGCACAAATTTAGCCACACTTCGCTAACTCTAGCTGCATGCGTCACATTTTATTTCTTTAACATGTTTCTTATAGGTTGAAATAAAGCAGGAGACGATTCGACTAGTGGGTCTTTCGGCCACACTGCCCAACTACCTCGACGTTGCAAAGTTCTTGCACGTTAATCTCAACAACGGTTTATTCTTCTTCGATTTCCGTTTCAGGCCCGTACCTCTCAGCCAAACGTAGGTTACCTGTATATTTTCGCTTTATGTCGGCCAGTGATGCCTGTATAGATTTATCGGCGTAAAGAAAGGCGACACGTTTTCAGATATGACAAATATGGACCGCATTTGCTACGAGAAAGTGCTGCAGTTTGTCAAAGAAGGCCATCAGGTGCGTTCTGTTGTACTGTGGACGTTTCATAGCTGGTCAGTTAATCAATAAAATATTTTCAGGTGATGGTGTTCGTTCATTCCAGAAGCGCAACTAGCAAACTAGCGTCGATTTTTCAGCAGATTGCTAACACAGAAGGCGATCATGCCTATTTTTTGCCATCTAAATCACAGAAATTTTTTAAGGCTCAAAAAATGGTAATACTGCCGCAAGCAGTCACTTTTTAACATTTTATCGCCTGATTGACGTTACCAGATCTCCAGATGCCGAAATCATCAGTTGGATGACCTTTTCGCTTCAGGCTTCTCTATTCACAACGCGGGCATGTCACGTCATGATCGTAGCGTAGTGGAGAGATTGTTCGCTGAAGGCTCCATTCGGGTATTGTGCTGCACGGCAACATTAGCTTGGGGCGTGAATTTGCCCGCGCACGCCGTCATCATTCGGGTTTGTTGGTGCATTCCATGCACGATCAGATTAGCTTCTAATTCACTCGTTTCTGACCTGTTTTAGGGTACGGAAGTTTACAACCCTCAGACAAGTTCTTTCATCGATTTGGGAATCTTGGATGTTCAACAAATATTCGGCCGCGCCGGTCGGCCTCAGTTTGACACATCTGGCCATGGTGTGATTATTACTACGCATGACAGACTCGACCATTACCTTAGCCTTTTGACGCATCAGGTAGGACGCGACTGCACTTGATTGACCAGCCATGACAGCTGTAATAAATATAACATGCGTGTTATTAGGTGACGGTCGAGAGTCAGTTTCTGAACAGCTTAGACGAACACCTGAACGCTGAGGTAGGTTCCTGTTTGCCTGTAGTTATGGGAAACACAGAGTGAAACACTGTAACTTATTGTTCTTTTGCAGATCAGTCTTGGAACTGTTGCATCCGTTGATGATGCGATGGATTGGCTAAGGTTTACGTACTTTTACATCCGAGCGCGTGCAAGTCCAATCACATACGGCGTACCACCCAAAGCTTTCGATGTAAGTATAGTCTAAGATATTAAATCTGTTTATTTGATCGTGTTGTTTGTTAAGACAAAGTCGTTGAAGGACAAGTAACGGTGTACTTGCAGAAGTTTCAGTTGAGCTTACTACATCATTGGCACATTTTAAAATTTTCTTGTAAGAAATGGTACTTTACTAGAAGCTGTAGATCATCAGCAGCACTTTAATGAGCGATTGTTTTGTGATACCGCTTAAAAATTCCCTCAGGCTCTTCCACGGAGTTGACAAAATTTTGGCGCTGAAAAACTGGTTCAGTAATACTTAATTTTATTGGTAAGTGTTCTATGGTTATAGCGAAGTATCATTAGCAGAGTGAGCGTGTCTTATTACAGAAACGGTGCTGAATATACCATCTGGACCGAATATTTTATTTGTAACGGGCCTATGAGTATGGGTATGAAAAAACTGCTGAGTGAAGAAGAATACTTTTCGGGGTTAAATATTGAATGTTTGCCACATTGAATGTGCGAATTTTAAACAGACCTTGACAGACGATTCTGGTTGCAAAAGAACTGAATAAGACGAGAATAAGGCTAGCTGCAATATGAAAGACGCACCGATTTTGAACAAGCGTTGCGGCCGCTAGAAATTACAGCGAAATTATAGCTTCTCTTGCACAGGAATAATAGAAGTTTCGTGCTCATAGGGATGGTTTTATACTGGCAGTAGGTAGAAAGGCAGAAGAAGATGGCGATGCTGAAGTTCAGGTGCAGAGGAACTGGCGACACGATAGTTGGTCGTTGTGCCCCTTTTAAAGCTGTGGCAGAAATAGTAAAGGAGGAATTTTAAGGCACATGGAGTTGTTTGCTGCAGCAAGATCAAATATGCAATATCCGGATTGTTCTGGGTAATTCCAGTAAGAATGTTTGATGTCTGGGATTACGCGGCGTATGTGAGATGAATTATTGTGGTGAGCATCTAGCACAATTATGTGAAATGCACGGTTTACCTGTTTACGGCATATGGTTTCCTCGCGAGTCATTGCATAAGATCATGACAGTCTATCGATGCATCAGCGGGAAACCAGATTCACAATGTTCTCATCACCAGAAGTGATCGACATACGTAGAATGTCAGGGTGCACAGAAGTGCTGAATGCAACAGCGATTATGAACTAGTGATGTCTGAAGTTAAATTCGAGTTTCGATCCTTGATTATCAGGCAGAATCTAACGCAAGTTGTAAGTCGACAAAATCAAATGTCCAGAGGTACCTCAAGCATCTCAGGCCACTATTTGTGGAAGGTTCAGACCGATGGTTGGTTGTACTGGTAGTATATTCGTGGAAAATACTTGGAACATTCAAAGGAGCAATCGGGACCGAGAAAACGAAGAAAAACCTTGGATAAGTTTTGAAACCAATCGGTTGCTGGGATAGAGCAGACTTACAAGATGAATAACAAAGTTTTAGGAGATAAACGCGGAAATGAATTGAACATGCAAACTTCCGGTAAAAACTGGTGTCTTGAGTGCTGAAGTGATAACCGCCGTAGGCGGGATTGCGCACAATATTGGGCATGCATCGAGGTGTGTTGTTCATTCATATTGTGAAATGACTCCGTTTACAACGAAATTTTTTACATTAATTTGGGTGAATCTGGCAGTCATTCACCTAGGTACAAGCCAGCCGAGTGAGTGAGACCGATGACAACGTGATCTTTCCTCATTTGACGATAAATACAGACGATCATCCTCACTCTCCTTTGATTGCGGTCATCTTAGGCAGAGCAGACTTGAAGATATCAGGGGGTCTGCCTTCCTCTTCTTGCCGCTGCCTTGTTAACGAAGAGTTGTGGCTTCATCGTAGCTTTTCATATGGTTGTCATAGTTTCTGGACATATTATACTCCCTCGAACTTCGTTTGATATGCCATGCCTTACCTTAGTAGTTGTTAACTCTACTCCATGTTGACCCTGTTGTTGCATTAGTAATTAACTATTGATTTGTTTTTCGATCTGCTCAAAAATCGTAGTATGAAGCAGCAGAAATCTTCGTTTTATGCGTTTTAGGGTTGACGATGTGAAACTGAACATCTCTGGTGTGATTAAACTCTCGCTGATTCTAACAGCTTAGCGGGATCTGCGATTTTATTTTCAAGAAAGGCAGCGAAAGCCATTGCTTTGCTTAGTGTCAATGATATTTTTCAATTTACAGAGGGATAAAACGGTCTTCGGTTTTGCGATGCCAAAAAGCCATGATATCATTTACATTACAAACAGGTAATAAAATTTAGATGTATCGAGGATTTCAGTAGCATCTTTTATACGAAGAATTTCACGGCATTTAGAACTAGCAAGAATCGTGGCTGTCTGTTGTTCAGCTTGAAAGCCGACAGTCCAAAAATTATGATTTTGTTTGAAATAACAGGTCTTCTGATTACTTTGTTGGTAACATGAAACAGAAAAGTTTCTATTTGCGGACTTTTCGACGTTTTAAACGAATTGGCATCGGTCATCGTTGAAACGTTGGAATATCTATAAGTAGCATTTTTCGCTGTCTTGTGCTGCCAGTTATGGAATCAGAAGACCTATCGCCTTCATTTCATCCCTGGCAAGGTATCAGTATGAGCTTCAAAAATAATTATTTGTGCTAGGAGGATCTTGCCTAATGAAATTTCGCAGAGAGTTGTCGCTGCGGAAATACATGGAGAGAGAGAGAGAGAAGAATACTGATGATCCTACACGTTCAAGAATTAATGTCGTTCAAGGAACCAGGCATCTGCTGCATTTCAGCCCTCATCAGTTACGACTTCTTCGGCGTGATCATCTGTTACCGACTTGCCTCTGGTCGTATGTTGCTAATCTGACCCATTAGCTTCTGTTGAACCTGTTAATATGTAACTGGTCTTATACACTCTTTTAGTCCAATGCTTTCAATCAATATTTAACTTGAGGATCAGAAATTACAACTTGACTAACTGATCGAACAGTTAGTGTCGAGTATCTCCTCAGGTAAAATTTGACTTTCAGCTTTGGCCTGTTAGAGATCTTAGTTGGTTCTTTGAGTTGAGAGCACTAAGGATATGCGTCCAGTCAAGTCCTGGTAGCTTCAGCGAATGCTCAGATGTACAGAATGCAGCCATTTTCGGGTAGTTTTCTATGGTGTTTTCCTGTTCAAGGTCTCGATTTTTTCCCTTTTTTGTCACGTCACCTGAAAAAAGTACCCTCTAGTTTTAAATAATTTCCATTATTATTAGCCATTCGTTCTTTTCTGTATCTTTGTTTATAAAGAAGGCATTGTTTTTTTGCGTGTTAATGCAATAAGCACGGGACACGGTTTGTTTTACCAGAAAACCTCTACATGCAGAAAAAACAACATAAAAATGAAAGGCGCTCTGTACGCACCCTTTTCATTACTGTGCGTTGTATAATTGCACTTTCTACTGATTTGACGTCGATTATATTGCTATATAAGCCTTGTATCACAGTGTTTATCAGTCCTTCTTCAACTACTATAAACGGCCTCCTCACTAGCCTGGAGCTTATCCTTAATGCACATGACAGAAGAACACGTCCATCTGGAAATCGATTTAAATACGTTGGAAGCCTAAATCAAGCTTTTTAAAACTGTGTTGTAGGATGATCCTTGCTTGTCCGGTTTCCTTCGAAATTGCATCAAGGCGGCCAGTCGACGTCTGGAAAGCCTTGGAATGATCAGGTTCGATGAAAATAATGGTTTTTTTTATCCAACGCACATTGGCAGAGTAGCGAGCCATTTCTACGTTACCTGTGAAACCGTTGATGTATAAATTTCGCTCGAACCTTCGCTGTCACTGTTTAACTGCTTTGCGGTTTTAGATAATCAATGCAGAGCTGAAAGAAATAATGACGGATCAGGCGATTTTTTCACTTGTCTCGCAGTCCAGCGATTTCACGCAGATGAAGGTAAATTAACTTGACACTTTGACGTAGTTTTCTGGCTGTTACGTTGCCGTGGCAACTGCATTGTTCGCTCTGCTGTTTAGACGCTGACAAAGTAGCCGAGTTTAGATCATAAGATTTAAAGCGGTTGTTTCTTCTAATTCTGTGGGCTTCACCACGGACTCTAACAATTACAAAACTGGAATAGTCGCTTAACAGATCATTCTGCGAGGCCAGACGTTATCAAAAAATTTATTTAGAATGGAAAAGTTTGTAACCAAATGTAGTCGTGACATTTTCCCGCGTTCATCTCTAAGAGTGTTTTCTTCTTCTCGTGGTTTCTCTTTTCATTGTGGACCATACAGCAGTTGTCTGTTCCTGCATTTTGCCTCGCCATTGAAAAGCCTTGCTTACTCGTTCAAGAAATTTCCAACTTCGTTCAGACGTTTTATTTTTTCATTTCATGTTATTTACTTAGTATAAACTTTACAATCAACTCGTTTCCAATAAAATACGAGATGCGTGCAGGCAAGTAGATACTAAACTTTGTCATGAAGTCGCGGTCTTTTCAAATGGCTTCTAGAGCATCTAACAATAAGGGTAATATCATAACGCTGTGTGACTCAACTGTACTGAATTTTTTTGTTAATGTTATCTTGAACTCCGCCATGGCCGGTCCCAAGCCCGGATGAGAAAGGAGGAGGGTTGGAGACCGTGGCAAGTCT